TCTCTTTTTTTTTGGTCATCATAATTACAAGGCTACTGCACCTCTATAATGTTATCATTGACAACTTGAAACAAAAAAAAAAAAAAAAAATCCTCCATACAACCTTTAAGCAAACAGACTTGTAATTCGATAAATTGTGATGGTCCACGATATTATTGTGAGAACTTTGATGATACGATATCACGATATTTCGGTTATTGTTACATCCTTACTAAATACATAAATGTTTAGTGCTATAATGTGTAACATCCCGCACAACGAAATAAAATCTCCATGGCAACAAGCAGATAAAAAAACAAGAACATTTCCGCAGCGCCCCTTTAAGACATATTTACTGGTTTAAATTAGATAAATATTAAATTAGATAAAAATGCTAGTTCGATGTTTAATGCTATACGCCATATGCATAACATCCCACGTAATGAAATAATATCTCCATGGCGACAAGGAGGTGACAGATCAGAAAAGTTCCGCAGCGCCCCTTTAAGACATACAGTATGTACTGGTTTAATTTAGATCAATAGACCTAAATTTAGAACGATTAAATTAGATAAAAATGCTAAAGAAATAAATGTTTAGTGCTATACTGCGTAACATTACGTGCAACGAAATAACATCTCCATGGCGACAAGCAGGTGGCGGATCAGAAAAATTCCGCAGCACCACTTTAAGACATACAGTATTTACTGACTTAATTTAGATAAAGATTAAATTAGATTAAAAAAAGATAGACTGATGTTTAGTGCTATACTGCGTAATATCCTGCGTAATGAAATAAAATCTCCATGGCGACAAGCAGGCGACAGATCAGAAAAGTTACACAGTGCCCCTTTAAGACATTCAGTATTTTCTGGTTTAATTTAGATAAAGATTAAATTACTTAAAAATGCTAAATAAATAAATGTTTAGTGCTATACTGCATAACATCCTACACAAAAAATAACATCTCTATGGCGACAAGGAGGTGACATATTAGAAAAGTTCCGCAATGACCCTTTGACATATTTACTGGTTTAATTTAGATAAGGATTAAATTAAATAAAAATGCTAGATTGATGTTTAGTGCTATACTGCGTAACATCACACGTAACGAAATTACGTCTCCATGGAAACAAGTAGATAAAAAACAAGAAAAGTTCCGCAGCGCCGCTTTAAGACATATTCACTGGATTAAATTAGATAACGATGGATTTTTGTCTTACTAAAACAGCCCCAATTACTTCTCCGTGACTCGTGTTTCGTTTTGATTCAGATCTGATTACTTTTATTGTGGTGAATTTCACAGGTGCGCAGTCATACCGCCCGACCAATCAGATCGCGGCGGTCGCCACGGGAACCTCATCTCTGCCAAATGTGTGGAATTGAAATTACTATGTGCTGGAAGGCAATTTTCAGGAGCACGGGTGGGCCTTTCCATGGACGTGCTCGAGAAAGGGAGTGAGCTTAATACCAGGGTGGAGATTGTCATTACTGTGGCACGGTCAAGATCACGGAGCGCCCATTCTGGACCTTCTGTAATCATGGGAATGGGTCAACAGGGGGTGGTTTTCTCCTCAGGTTTCTAGTGCCGTTTTGCATTTATTTTGTGTAACGACGTTTTAAAGGGGCTATAGAGTAATTACGCTATTTTCAGATCGATGTTGTAATGTTGTTTCCTCGTCACAAACAGACCTGGAGTTGTGTTTGGTTTCATTCACATTTCATTTACGAGGATAAGTGGAGTTCTTCTCTCAAACTGAAAGCACTCTGTTCCACCTTGTGATGTCATATGGTAATACAGGAAGTGCTCTACTGTCTTTTTAAACTCCATACAGTTTCAGTAGAATAATTTGGATGATTTGCGCTGGAATTTCTAATCGCTTCTGAACTTTAAAGGTAAAAGTAACTTGAAAACTACGACTACATGACATCACAAGGTGGAACAGAGCGTTTTGAGCGTTGGATAGGTGGACAGACTCATACTAAAAGGTTGATAAAACACTACAGATATGTTTTTGATAAGGTAACAACATTAAAACACGGCTCACAAGAGTAAATTTTGCATTATAAAGGACTTTTAAATTAAAAAATGCAAAAAAATCAACATTGAAACAGGAAGTTACAGTCTTAGAATCTATCTTTCTGCGAATACTGGATACTTACTTAAAGGTGCATTGCGTAACATTTTCTGGTGGAGAGTCCATGACCTTTTTGGGTCTATGGAGATGTGGTTGCTCTGCCTAGAATGTTCCACAGCTCTACCTTACATTTATTCTATTACAGGTGGTTTTATTGCTCAAAAATACCTAGAAAAACAGGCGTTCTGACTGTGAGTGGGGTTGCCTCTCCACAGATCTGACCTGTAACTTGGTCTGGTTTGGTCTCAGTAATGATAGAAAGGTAAAGCTAATGCCATACTGTGAAACATTCCAGATAAACCAGTAACATTTCCAAGAAGAAAAGCATTTGACGGAGCCTCCACCCGAAAAGTTACACACTGCAGCTTTAACTGTTCAACTGCACAGAAGGTTTCAGCAGCGGTCATCTGGACTGAAGCCATTTTCAATTGGATGATACCGGCTTGGGGCTTTACCATTTATCCTAATCTGACTTAAATAAATCCAGACTCAAAGGAAGGAGTTTTACAGTGAAAGCGCCTTTGGGTGTGGATTCCATTAACTCAGATCCTAGAGCCTCAAGCCAGAACACTGAACCACTCCTGGACGAAAAGAGAAATTACACTGTTTTCGTTATCTGTTTGATTGTCCGACTCTTTATCTGAAGGATCAAAAGCTTCTGCAGTGGTGTGAGGTGACGTCCAACACTGGGCAACTCCAAAAATGAACTAAAATAAAAATAGACGTTTGCACAATCTGATATTAGGTGTCAACTTCTTGTAATATGCAACGTTTTGTGGCGTTTTTCCCATTCAAAAAGGCATCGTGTTCCATTTTAAACTGTAAATCTCAATGGTATTTTCATCATTTGGAAACCCATCGATAACTTTAAAGTATAATGTGCAACTGAAAGCTTTTTATTATCTTGGATTTGATTCATTGAGTGTCTCAGTTTCGAAAAATGACATTATAAATTATAGGATTTATAGGCTGTTTGTAAGTGGTGAAATTCAGTTTGAGTGTTTATATATTAGGGATGTAACGATATCCAAATCTCACAATACGATACTTTCACAATATACATCTCACAGTACAATATTTAGTTTGATATTTTGTGTAGGCTCACAAAATTGTGAATACTGTACGCTACTTTGCTACTTTTGCCTTTTAAAATACCTTGACAAGACTTTGGTTCAGTCATAATCCAAAGAATTAAGATTTAAAAGTGTTTATAACAGTTATTTCTGTGTGTAATTGGCATTGAAACTGAGCAAAGGATCATGGTCTATGTAGTTCTCTCAGTTTTTTAGCTATATTTCCGCACTATAACTTTTAATTTAAGCAGAGACTTGTAATTCGATATATTGTGATGGTCCACGGCAGAGGTGGGACCAAGTCATTGTTTTGCAAGTAAGTCTCAATTCTTTGACCTCAAGTCTGAGTCAAGTTCCAAGTCAAAGACAAGCAAGTCCAAGTCGAGTCTCAAGTCACTGGCCCATAAATCCAAGTCAAATCCAAGTCGTCTGCTTTGCGCTTCAAGTCATTTCAAGTCTTTAAACCAAAGTACCAAATATAGCTTAGATTTTTGCAATTTATATGAATTTTAAACTAAATTGTACTTATACAGTCATAGTATATTTATATATGAGGGTTTATAGCGTATATAAGAGTTGTAAAAATGCTACATTTTCCTTTTTAAATGTCTTGACGAGATCTTAGTGTGAATCATTACGGTCAGAATAGAAAAAGATTCTGATTTAAAAGTGCTTCTCAAGTCTTCTCATGTCCCAAGTCACTGACCTTCAAGTCCAAGCGAGTCCCAAGTCCATTTTATCAAGTCAAGTCTCAAGTCCTAAAAATAGTGACTCAAGTCTGACTCGAGTCCTACTCACGACTTTCAAGTCCCTACCTCTGGTCCCCTGTATTATTTTCAGACTTTGGAGACACGATATCACGATATTTCGGTTATTGTTACATCCCTATTAAATATGTGTAAAAAAATAAAATTCAAACATGTTTTTCAGAGATACAGAAACATTTTTAAGCATTTCATTTGAACTGTTTAATTGTTTTATTTTGTATTTCGTCCGCCATTTTATCTCGACTTCTGTTGTGATCTCAACGGGGGTGAGAACCACACGTATCGTCGTTTCAAGACTTGTAAAAAGCAACTCATTTAAACCCATTAGCGTTAGAGCCCTTTCTATTTTTAGCTTTGGGAAAAGTCATTCGCGGTTTGGTTCATCCATGCTAGCGCGCGCAAAGCTAACCCAGTGGAGCGTCGTGCGCTAAATTAGCTTTGACTCGCTCTACAGGAGTGGGAGCCATGTGGCGCTAGATAACAACCTCCACATCTCGCAATCCACTTTCACCATTTCTAAAGATTGTTTTTTTTGTTTTTTTCACGTTGCGGGTTGATGGTTTGACGCCCCGATTTGTGTTAGTATCCGTACAAGCCAGTTAGCCAGTTTTCGAGCATTTTTTAACAAGACAAATTGAACGAAAATCATAACTTCATGCAAGGATGTGTTAAGCTGGGGTTAATATCTACACAGTTGGTGTGTCGGTGGGATGCAACATAGAAAACCAAAATGAAAAAAACGTGAAATAAAACTGCAAAATCCAAGCAGAGGGAGTCTATTGTTAACAGTTAAAGTTAATATCAAAGAAATGTGTGGTAGAAGACATGTATACTTGAATAGAGACACCAAGCTGAAAGGACAAATACATCCAGCCCAAAAAGAGCGCAAAAACAAAATGTCCATCACGTTCAAAAAAAGGACAAAATTTAAGAAAATCAAAGAAGAAATTTCAAAATCTGCATGTAGGGAAAGAAGGGTGGAGGTAATATAGGTTTGGTTGCCATTTTGTCATGCATTCAGTTTGGCATCAAAAAATGTATACCTTCATCGTCAGTGCGGTCACTAGAATCACTATCGTCTGAGTGTTTCTTTGTAAGGGGACCTATAAGGACCAAGAAGGAGAAAAGCAAGCAAAACAGTGATCAAGAAACAGACATTTTCGTTTTTCAGCAGAATTTCAAAAGTTGCTTCCCCAAAAGAAAAGAAAAAGTTCCAACATGTCATAATCACCACAATTCAGAACAAGAAAAGATTGGTCAAAAAAATATGGAGAAAAATGTTTGTGGAAAATATTGGTGGATTCAGGGTCCCGATACTTGGGAGGTCAATTGTACAATTAAATGTATGTATGTGTGTATGTATGTTTTAGCAAATAATTGTTGGTGGTAGCAGTTAAAAGGAAGCTGTAAAGGGGGAAAAGCATTGTTGTAGATACAAAAAAAAGCACTGAATGAAACGGAAGCCAAGGAAGACGTTCAGTGTGGGGCGTTCGCTGTCATTTACAGAAAAGGTTATAGGTATTGTATTAATAATGGGAATTTATATTAGCCTAAAAAAGAAGAATTAGCTTTTTTTGTGGAAATATGTTTTTGTTTTGTTTTTTTTGTTTTTTTTGGTTTGTTTGTTTTTTGGCAATTTTTGAATTTAATTTATTTTGGTCAAATTCAACAAATCCTTTTTTTTTTTTTTTTTTTTTTTTCCCAATTTATTTATTTTGGCCAAATTCAACACATTATTTATTATTATTATTATTATTATTATTATTATTATTATTATTATTATTTTTATTATTATTAATTTTATATTTATTTTATTTTAATTTTTTTAACAAATTTTGAATTTCATGTATTTTGGCCAAATTCAGCCCATCTTTTTTTTTTTTTTTTTTTTTTTTTATTTATTTATTTTTTATTTCATTTATTTTGGCCAAATTCAACCCATATATATTTTTTTAATGGTATGGTTTTAATTCATATTTTTAAAAGAGATTTGTCAAATTTTCCACATTTCAACCAAAAATTATATTCTGTTTCTCAAAATTAAATGTATCTTTTTATGATATGGTTTTCATTTATGTTTATGGTCTAAAATCAAGATACAATTTTAAAACTAGTTCACCGTCTTCACAGAGGGAGTCGTCATTGGCTTCAGTATCCCAACACATACAGCTTAAAACACTAGCTTAACATTTTCATAGCATTTGAACATTGCATCATTATTAGCAAAAAAAATCAACATTGCCTTTAGGTGGACTCTGCTAGCTGGCAAACACAACAGGGGGAGTGTTTTTCCTATTGACTCCTACACAATTCTTTACAAAAGATCTTCATAAACATGCAAAGATACAGAAACACTTGGAAGAACAGTAGAACATGCCACTACATACAAGTCCACATTCAAAACTCCCATTCACACACATAATTAGCTATTGATTTCTGTCGTGTGTAAAGAATAAATGTTCATCTTGAGATCAAAATAACATGGTCTTTACAAAACCAATCATTATATGTGTTTTCAATGAGCTACTGAATACAAGCTGCTACAAATCACTGCTCTGCTTTTACTGTTATCTTAAAACTGTACTATATAAAATTTTCTGATGGAAGGTCAGGTTTTTGTCTGGAATGTTCCACAGTTTTGCATTAAACAAATCTATCTCAAAGTCTGTATAAAGAAGTGGACTAAGGCTACTGTTAGAGAATTCTATGATATAAATGTATTTCTTTGATTAAAGTCTCATTAAAGTGTTACTCATTTATATATGTAATTCTTTCACTAAAGTATTAATCATTTAAAGGGTGAATCATTTAAATATTAATCATGGTGTAATCAACATTGCTTTGGGTCTGTTTTGGTTCAGGAAGTACAGGACATGATACCAGCAGCAGATATGAATGACATGTCAACTGACAGATTAAACTAATCTACTATGGGCGCCAACAATTCTGGGTTTGTCCCATCTTATGTTAAAACTGAAGGCCTTGGGGAACTACTAAATTGTCTATCTTTGGGATATGTAATCAAATGTGAAATGGGAGGGTGGTTCAGTTGACGATTGTTAGTTATAAGATAACATGTGAAATGTATGTCATCAAGTATGCTTATCTGTGACATGATTTTCAATAAAAGTGTGACTTGGAGAGTTGTTGAGCAGAGTCGGTCAGGGAGCTGACAGACAGTGTGCACGACTCTCCTTGCGCAAGTATAAATTTTAACCGTCTCTTTCTGGTGTGTCTTTATTTAATGTAATCTGATGTCTTAGGGTAAATTCCCTGACAGCTACGTTCAGACTGCAGCCTGAAGTGACCCAAATCTGATTTTTTTTTTGCCCCTATGCGACCTCTGTTTGATCTTGTCATGACAAATGCAACCCAGACCGCTTGGATATGTGCTCCTAAAAACCAATACATATCTGATTTTTTGACATGCAACTTCAGTCTGAACGGCCAGGTCACGTTCATCTCACCTACACATCAGGCTCGGAGTCTAGTCAATGGAGGGAAAGCGAGGTTAGCGAGTTAATTAATATTTATTTCCAGGCCAAACTGGAGGGGTCTTATCGGAACCGGGCGGTTTTTGAAATGATTGCCAAACATGGCCCTGGCTCCAATATCAACAAAAAATAAAGAGCCTGCGACCCGAATACAAGGAGGCTAAAGACTCAAACAACTGTCCATTTTACGAAGAACTGGACTGTATTTTGGGAGACAACGTTTAGGCGATTTCTGTAAACACTGAGCACACTCGCTGCATGTGACGTCGTTATGTCCTCCAATGTGCATGCGGGACACTTTTGGGTTGTTTAAAGTTCACACTGGAGGTCACATAAAAGTCGCATTTAATTGGAAATGCGAGCAACCTTGCAAAAAAATTCACAAAAAAAATCAAAATTGAGCTTTAATCCCTGCAGCCTGAATGTAAACTAAGCGAGTGTGACGTCACCCATTGCGTTCAGCTCCAGTCAAATGAAATTCACTGAGGCTAGCAGTTATAGGAGTGAATTTGAAGCAGAGTTTGTTATTAGGAATATACATTTATATACAGACTAAATAGCGAAATAAAAACACCAGGATCATGTAGAGCGGGTTATTACGAACATTTTAAGACCAAAATGACGATGCTCACTGCAGCAGTTACAGAGAGGTGTGACAGTTTTTCAATGTAAAGTCAATTGGAGCCAGAGTCGATGGAGCCGGAAACGTGCCCATGAACACTTCTTATTTGGAACGTGGCGACTAACGGGTTAACTACGTCCATTTATGCATTTAAGTCAAGTCACCCGTAGTGTAGTAAGGATACAAAAATTTCAGACTTGATTTTTACAACGGAATAAGCTGGATGATAATAAATAAAACACTTTCTTTAGACAATAGACTGTGATTTTCAACATCGTAAACTGTAGTATTTTCTTTTATACTACCATGTGGCCTTATATCTGTGTAATCCCTCAGTGGTCCATGGGTGTACACGAGTCTATGTGCTCTTATACTAGTTCTGATACAGCTCAAAATGTTTCTAACACTATTCAGTAAAGGTTCATTTCTGTCCTGTGAATGTGACTTTTGTTTTAGTATCGATACCTTCTCAAATTAGTCTGCTTAAAACTAGTTCTGATATCGATTAGTATCAGATTTTTGATACTTTTGGCGACTCTAGTCACGTTACAGGTCAGATCTGTCGGGTAAGATTAACTCTATACTGTGGAACATTCCAGGCAAAGCAACACCATCTCCAAGGAGACGGCCGGACTGTAACTGTGACCAAAAAAATAAAATAAATCTAGCTTCAAACCAACAATATCGTAATAATTTAACTGTATGAAACAAACCATGCAGTCATTGAGCTAATGCATTCAAAGTGCCACTCTACTCCAGGTTAAGACAGACCTCCAGTATCTGCCAAAGAAAAAAAAAGATGCTACTTGAGCTTAACAACACTTGAGAACTAACAATAATATTAAAGCCGTACGTGATTTTTACTTTCCTGCAAATGGGGAAAAAAGAACTACTTCATTAAAAACACTTCGCAGTTGTCCAAAGTTTTTCCTCGCATTTTGAGCAGCCTAATTATTCACCAAGATGAGTTTATATGAGCTTTTTGCAACTTCCTGAGGCCAGAGCAAAGTTTGCCATCAAGATAATCCTAACAATAACTAGCATGCTAACAATATACTTCCTGATTCTAGGACAATAAAAACAAAACAAACCCCGTTGTAATTAGAATTGGACCTTAAAAACTGCTCATATAATATATCTGTACTGGGGAAAGTCTCTTTTTTCTCAAATACGTGGGAAAAATATCAAGTACAAGGCTTTTAATTTAACACAGAGGACAACAGAAACAACTAGCATGTTAACAGCGCACTTCCTGGTTCTTAGTTTGAGTAGAGCTCTCGATAAAACATGACAAAGTAAGAGCATTTCACAGCTATCAAAAGCCAGAGCAGAGGTTAAGCCTTCAAGGTAATGTTAACAACAACTAGCATGCTAACAGCACACTTCCGGACCCACAGAGGATAAAATGCTTCACAATTAGGATCAGAAAGCGCATAGTCTATTTCTCAATAAAGTACTATGACAGACTATACGTAAACACTGACATTATAGAAATTTATAACTTCCTGATTCTCGGACAATAAAAAAACACTTAATTATAATTATAATTTAACCTCAGAAGCTGCGTGTTTAGGCTGAGTTCCACCTTGTGATGTCATGCGGTAATACATGAGGTGCTCTACTGTGTTTTTAAACTACATATAGCTACGCCTTTTCAACTCTGGAATTGCAAATCGCGACCGAACAAAAGGCAAAGGTGCTGTTAACTTGAAAACTACAACTTCATGACATCACAAGGTGGAACAGAGCATTTGGAACATGTGTGAATGAACCAAAACACAACTCCGGGTATGTTTTTGAGAAGGTAACTATATTCAAACATGACTTAAAGCTCACAAGAGTCAATTTTGTCTAATTAGAGACCAAACTTGAGTCACTCTAAAACATAAAATGCTCAATTTGTGAAAAATGAAAAAGAAAAAAAGTTCAATTTAGCATCTTAACATTCCTCCTGCCTCTCAAAACTCGAGTGCTTCATGCTTGGTAT